AAAAAAAAAAAAAAAAAAAGAATTAGCCAGGAATAGTGGCATGCGCCTATAGTTCCAGTTACTCAGGACATTGGGGTGGGAGGATGGCTTGAGCTCAGGAGTTCGAGGCTGCAGTGAACTATGAACTATGATCACACTACTGCACTCCAGCCCTTGGTGAGAATGAGACCCCATATCTATGGCTCAGCCTGTAATCCCATGCTTTAGGAGGCCGAGGTGAGTGGATTGCCTAATCCCGCAGGTCCGAGAGCCGCCTGGGCAACTTGGCGAGACCACATCTCTAAAATAAATTAAAAAAAATTAGCCAGGTGTGGTAGCGCATGCCTGTAATTCCGGCTACTTGGAAGGCTGAGGCAGAAGGATTGCCAGAGCCCAGCAGGTCGAGGCTGCGGTGGCCGGGAGCGGCCACTGCACTCCAGTCTGGGCGACAGAGTGAGACTCCAACTCAAAAAAAAAAAGAGAGAGACCCTATATCTAAAAAAAATGTTTAAAAAAAGAAGCTAAGGCTCCCAGGTATCTACTGCTCCCAGGTATCTGCCCCAGGACCCAGTCCTATACGAAGAGAGCTACTCTGTGGCTGCTCCCAAGTTGCAATGGGAGGCAGGTGGGATTACTGTGGCCCTTGCTCAGGCTGGTGCCAAGAGTGCTGGAGTGTGGATTGAACTGAGCCTTCCCTATGGAGTCCCCTCCAGGGTGCACTGATGCCAAACAACCAGGGTACTGACCATGGTAGGTGCCATCTCCTCACAGCTGCCCCTCTGTGCCACTGTATGCTGGCCTGGCACTGGGCATGGGGGCAGTAGATGAGCCCTGGGTCTGGTACGAGCACAAACCCATGAACAGCACCTGCCACATCAGGTGGCTCTACCCTGAGAAAGGGGTCAGCATCTCTGTATTGAAGATGTGGCACAGAGATATCATGCTGCTTGCCCGAGGTCACACAGCTAGAAGATGGTTGGACAAGAAAGATTAGTACCCTTTTGATTGCCTCTGTGTCCCATACTTCTAGCCCTCATCCTGCAGGGTTTTGCCAAGTTTACATAATGTCCATTTGAGTCTCGGACAGGGAGCTCAAGCACAGTATGAGGGTTATGTGCAAACAGAGGATTCCAGCCCCATTCAGCCCCTGACCCTTTCTGGGCTGTGCTAGTGGCAGGTCCGGCTCAGGGACAGTCATTGTCATTGGGCTGTTTTCAGCTCAATGTGGTTTGTCCCCACAACCACCAAGACTCAGGAGGATGGGGACATACAACCTTCTGAGGCCACAATCCTCTCCCCTGCAGACCCCACCCATCCTCATCTATGAAGGGAAGGCACCATGCGGGCCCTAGCACTGCTCTCAAGTTCAGTCCCTTTGCTGCCCAAGGGTTGCCTGCGTCAGATTCAACCAGGCAGCCCCATGGAGGGCATCGCATTCCTGGAGTTCACCCTCTTCCCAGTGGCTCTGACTGCCCTGGTCAAGTCCCAGGCTGGGAGTCAGGGCCATAGGAGGGTGGAGAGGAAACTGCTTCCCTCCCCTCAGGGGCTTGAAGTCCAGCAGGAGTGTATGTGTGTGCTTGTTTGTGTACATGTGTGTGTGCATGCATGTGAATGTATATGTGTACTTGTGCATGTGTTATTGTATGGGCACATGGTCCAGTGGAGATGTGGGCACGTGTGCATGCGTGCGTGTGTGAAACATCCAAGGTGTGTGTCCCCGGGTCCCTGGGGCAGCCAGGAGTAGGTGGTGGAGAGGCTGGTGGAAGCCTACAGGGGCTGGTGGTGGGTAGGGTCTGCATGAGGAGAGGTCCCTGGAGACTCCAGTTTCCTGGTCAGGGAGCCGTGGGCAGCGGCGGCGTCATCTATCAGGAGGTGTGGGTGGGAGGGAGGCTGGGAGGGGTGGACTCTGTATGTGTGGGAGTTCCTGGGACCGTGGGAGGCAGGGTGGGCCCAGCCCTGCCAGGAGGTGCCACAAAGCAGTTGGCAGGATGCTCAGGGGAGCTGTGGGGCCAACTGCAGCTGCATCTGGTGATGGCATCGCATCCTGTCTCTCTCCACAGTGAAGAAGAAGCGGACCTGGCACAAGCACAGCCCAGGGCAGACGCCCGACGTGAAGCCCGTGCAGAACGGCAGCCAGCTCTTCATCAAGGAGCTGCGGAGCAGGACCTTCCCCAGGTGGGTGGTGGCAATGCAGGGAGCTTCATGCTGCCCTGCCCCTCCCTGCTCTGTCACCTTCCCTTCTCCCTCCATCCTTCTCCCTTCACCCTCCTCCCTTCTCCCTCTGCCTTCTTCCTTTCTCCCTCATCCCTCTTCCCTCCACCTTCCTCCCTTCTCCCCCTGCCCTCCTCCTTTCTCCCCTTTCTTCTCCCTCTTCCCTCCTCCCTTGTCCCTTCTCCCCTCCACCCTCCTCCTTCCTTTTTCTGCCCTCCCCCCCTTACCTCCACTCTTCTCCCTTCTCCCTCTTCCCTTCTCCTTCTTCCCTTCTCTCTTCTCCCTCCTCCCTCTACACTCCTCCCTTCTTCCTCTTCCCTCTCTCCTCCAGGCTACTCCCTCCTCCCGTCTCTCTCTTCCCTTCTCTCTCCTCCCTCTTTTCTTCTCCCTCCTCCCTCCTCACTCTACTCTCCTTCCTCTTCCCTCTTCCTTCTTCCTCCTCCCTTTACTCTCCTCCCTTCCTCCTCCTCCTTCTGCCCTTCTCCCTTCACTCTTCTTATTCCCCCACCTTCTGCCTTCCTCCCTCTTCCCTTCTGCCTTTTTCCTCCTTTCTCCTTCTTCCCTCTTCCCTCCCTCCTCCACTCTTCATCCTCCTCCCTCTGCCCTCCACCCTCCTCCCTTCTCCCTCCCCTTCACACTTCTCCCTCCTCCCTCCTCCTTCCTCCTCCTCCCTCCTCCTCCACCCTAGCCCTCCTCTCTCCCTCTCTACCCTTCACTCTCTCCCTCCTTCCTTTCTCCCTTTCCTCTTCCCTTCTCTCTCCCTCTTCCACTCTCCTCCTTCCACCCTCCATCCTCCTTCCATCCTCCACCCTCCTCCCTCTTTTCTCCTCTCTCTTCCCTTCTCCTTCCTCCTTTCCCCTCCTCCCTCTTCCCTCTTCTCTTCCTCCTCTGTCCTCCTCCCTCCTCGGTCCTCCTCCCTCCACCCTCTTCCCTCTGCCCTCTACCCTCTTCCCTCCTCCCTCCAGCCTTTTCCTTTTTTCCTCCTCCCTCCTCCCTCTACCCTCTCCATCCATCACTTCCCACCCTCCTTCTTCCTTTCTTCTTTCTCCCTCTTCCCTCCTCCTTTCTTCCTCTTCCATCCTCCCTTCTCCCTCTTCCCTCCTTCTTTCTCCCTCTTTCCTCTTCCCTTCTCCCTCTTTTCTCTCCCTCTTCCCTCCTTCCTTTCCTTCCTCCCTTCTCCATCTTCCCTTTTCCCTCCTCCTCCCTCTTTCCTTCTCCATCCCTTCTCCACCCTCCTCCCTCCACCCTCTTCTTTCTCCCTCTTCCCTCTGCCCTTCTCCCTTCACCCTCATCTGCCTTTCACCCTCCATACTCCACCCTCTTCCATTATCTTTCTTCCCTCCCTCCTCCTGCTTCCCTCCCTCCCTGTGGCTTCCTGTTCCCTCCTCTCTCCTCCCTCTGCACTGTAGCTAGTGACTCTGCCAAGAGAGCAGGCAACAAAGAACCTGTCATCACAACCCCAATGCCCTTGGCATCTGGACTGACCTCTCCTCCCTGTGTTAGCATCTCCTGGGAGTGAGGGGAAAGCATTGGTGACCATCTTCCTCTGGGTGGAAGAGACCTCTCTCCCCACCTGTGTGCCCGGCTCCTGCCAAGGAGTTCTCCTGAATCTTTGGCTCTGGGCCCTTCTTGGCTCTACTGGTGTGTGCCCATGGGCCTGTTCATGCCCATGCTTCCTTAAGTCTTCTTAGAGACCTTGCCATCCCCGCCTTTGTTCTGTGTGAGGACAGGAGATAGAGGACAAAATTCAGGTGCAGGGAGGATGCAGCAGGGAGTGGCTCCTGGTAAGAAAGGAGTCATTTTAGGTGTGCTGCCCCCAGCCCCCTGCAGCTGTTCATAGGCTTGAGGCAGTTTCTGTTTGTCTGACAAAGTCTTCATTTCTCCTTTCCTTTTTTTTTCTCTCTCTTTTACTTTTGAAGGATAATTTCACTGGACATAGAATTCCAAGATGGTGGGTTTTTTCTTTTGGCACTTTAAATATTCCCTCTACTGTCCTCTTGCTTGCGGGATCTCTGATGCAAAGTCCAATGAACTCTTGGTCCTGACTCCTCTGTGGGCCAGGTGCCTCCCTGGCTTCTTCCTGTTTTCTTTTTCCCCCCACCTTTATTGAGATACAATTCATAGATTATACAGTCCACCCATTCACATACCCATTTAAAGTATACAGTTTGTTGGCTTCTGGTGTGCACCATCACGTGAATTTTAGGACACTGAGAACATTTTCACCAGAAAGAAACCCCATAACCTTTATCCTTCCCTAGTCTTCCCATCCCCACCCCCCACCCCCTGCAGTCCGAAGCCACTGCTAGTCACTTTCTTGTCTCTGTAGATTTGCTTATTCTGGACATTTCCTGTAAATGGAATTGTACCATTCATTGAGCAGAATGTTTTCAAAGTTCCTCCCTATTGTAGCATGTTGTTCCTATTTTATAGCAGAATACTGTTCTGTTGTATGGATATTCCACATAGACATTCTGTTTCTCCATTCATCAGATACAGGGCATTTGTGTTGCTTCCATGTTTTGGCTACTATGAAGAATTCTGCTGTAAACATTTGTGTACAAGTTTCTGTGTGGACATACGTTTTTATTTTTTTAAGGAGTGGAATTGCTGGGTCATATGGTAGCTAACTCTATACTTGTGTGAGGAACTGCTAGGCTGTTTTCCAAAGCAGCTGTACCATTTTACATTCTCTCCAGCAGGGTGGGAAGTTCCAATTTTCTCACATCCTCACTAGCGTTTTTATTTATTATCTGTCTTTTTGATTCTGGCCATCCTAGTAGGTGTGAAGTGGAATCTCATTGTGTTTTGATTTGCATTTCTCTAATGACTAAAGATGTTGAGCATCTCTTCATGTGCTTACAGATCTTTGTATATTCTTTGGAGAAGTGACTTTACAGATCCTTTGCCTACTTTTTTTGTCTTTTTGTTATTGAATTTAAAAATTATTTATATAGTATATTCTAGAGACAAGTTCATTATCTGATCTACAAGGGAGTACCCTCCCTCCCAAAATGAATTATTTTTGTGAAGGACAGGCACCTTGTGGTACAGGCTTCCCTCGCTAGGTAAGTGTTCTGAGGACCCACTGGCACCAGTATACCACCTGGCATTGTTGTGAGAGGCTGTGTTGGACTTCAGCAAATTTTTTTTGTAAATCCTTTCAGTGTGCCCATTTCATGATGGGTGAGTTATGAGCACATGTGCTCACGTTGTGCTGAGTGTTCAGCAGTTTTTGACCAAAAATGGCATGGCTCCTGTGCCCCACCCTCCCTTCTCACCAGATCTCGCCCTGAGCAATTTTTTTTTCCTGGATGAAAAAAGGAAAATGTATTGCCAATGTGGAAGAGGTGAGACAAAAAATGACAGAAACACTAAAAGACGTCAAAATGAACAAGTTCAAAAACTGTTTGGAGCAATGGAAAAGCCATCTCAATAGGGTGTATTGCATCAAACAGAGAGTACTTTGAAGGTGACAGAAGTTTAAACATGTAAGAAGAAATATACAATTTTTAATAAATAATTTCCATTTTTGGGAGGGGTCCTCCCATGTGATTTGCAAGAATTCTTTCCTGTGGATTGTCTTTTTACTTTCTAGATAGTGTCCTTTGAAGCAGAAAAGTTTTTAATTTCGGTAAAGTCCAACTCATTTTTTTGTTGTTGTTGTTGCTGTTTATGCTTTAGTTGTCATATCTAAGAATCCTTTGCCAAAACCAAAGTCATGAAAATTTATCTCTGTGATTTCTTCTAAGAGTTTTGTAGTTTTAGCACTTGCAGTTTGTTCTTGGATACATTTTAAGCTATTTTTTGTATAGAATGTGAAGTGAGAATCTGCACCCTTGTCCTACCAGTAGCTAGTAGAAACATTTTATTGGTAGCTTTTTACAAACTGCTGCAAGCTGAGTGTAGGATAGCTTAGGAGTTAAAAACTCCTGGGACCCAGAGTTAAAGGGGACCCCCTTGTCTAAATCAACTGGCCATGGATGTGTTTGTTTCTGGATACTTGGTTCTATTCCACTGAACTATATCTACTCTTATGCCAGCACTAAGCAATATTAATTACTATAACTTTGTAGTAATTTTTGAAATCAGGAAATGTGAGTCCTTCAACTTTGTTTTTCTTTTTCTAGTTTGTTTTGATCATTCTGGGTCCCTTGCATGTCCATATGAATTTTAAGATGAGCTTGTCAATTTCTACAAAGAAGTCAGCTGGGATTCTGAAAGGGACTGCTTTCAACCTGTAAGTCACTTTGGGTGTAGTGTCATCTTAACAGTGTTGAATCTTCTGACCACATGAACACAATTACCCTGGCATTTATTTAGATCTTTAAAGTTACTTTCAGTAATGATTTATAGTCTTCAGAGTATACATTTCGCACTCTTTGTTAAACGCACTCTTAAGTATTTTATTATTTTCAGTACACTTATAAATGAAATTGTTTTCTTTCTTTCTTTCTTTCTTTTTTTTTTTTTAGAAAGCAGGATTTATTAAAAGGACAGAAAAGTTCCCAGAGTGGGAGGGGACTTAAGGGGGTTGTCCGAAATTGTTTTCTTAATTTTATTTTCAGATTGTTCTTTGCTAGTGTATAAAAATACAATTGATTTTTATGTATTGGTCTTATCTATAACCTTGCTGAACTAGTTTATCAGTTCTAACAGTTTTTGGTGGATTCCTTGGGATTTTCTACATATAAGATCATGCCATTTGCAAATAGTGATAGTTTCACTTCTTCCTTTCCAATTTCGGTAGCTTGTATTTCTTTTTACTTGCCTAATCGCTATGGCAAGAACTTCCAGGATAACCCTGAATAGAAGTGGCAGGGTTAGGATGGTCAGTGTCCCACCCAGTACTCAGTGTGCCACATCCAAGGGAGAACTTCTGTTCCTTCAGTTCCAGTGGGACTGGGTGCAAGAAGGCAACCCTCACACCTTGGCAATACTTGCCCAGGATGCAGCCTCGGCAA